TATATATATATTGGCCTCGGGCAGTAGGGTTTTGGTGAGGGAACGACCCGAATTGCGTAGACAACCATCTAAGTTGTGTTGAGATATCATATCACCTTCACAAAGATTTTTGTTAAATACCGGCTAAAATGGCCTTGATCAAGAACACTGACCTTCAAATCGGTATTAACTGAAAACCAGTGGGTGTGTTTCTGCGCCCGGGTTTTAACTACCGGGCTTTTAAGTACTGTGGGTTCATTTGCGTCGCTTAAATAACAAGGTTCTTGGGCGATTACCCTATGAACAATAAAATCTTTTGACTTGTTCAAGTACAATTACGAGACAAGTCAAAAGGTAGTATAGAAAGTACCCAACAAACCCAAAGTTATTCGTGGTTATCGACACAGTGACTAGAGTATTTTCGAAAACCATGAGACTGCAGGGTGTTTCAGGTACTCGTCCTCTAATTCCAAGAAATAATTCATATGTATCCAACTTGTCACGCGTTGAGAATGGTCTGCAGATTAGATTATCTAACGTCAAACCTCCCTTGAAGACTAATGACATGCTAGGTTTTCTCCCGGTTTGACATAAGAACCCCGCCTAAAACTGATTACCACGTAAGCATTGAAACTAACATGATTAAAGATCGATCACCAGTAAGAAATAAAAAATAATAAGTTACGGGTACCTCAGGCGTGTGTCATCTTGCGTGTAAACCATTCCTATCCCTCACTGAGATATTTGCATTCGTGGTTGTGTTCATTTAGATATTTCCTGACTCATGGATTTGGTAACCGAAAAGATTGCTAAAACCGACTGTAGAGATGCTTGTTTCCCACTTCACAGTAGTGAATGCTCATAAATATATGTGTATCTGAAAACAAAACGTAAAACGCTCCAAAGAAATACGAGGGGGGAGACGAAAATTAGGAAAATAATGACTATGGCGCACTCCAAAAAGCTGGAAATTCGAATCTAGTAGAATACTGCCACACACTCTTAGCGTCTCCTAATATAGACAAACTAGGAGCACAATCATATTAGTAACTCTTTAAAGTGCTTGCTTTGTAGAATCTGAATTTGAATTTTGTATTGTGAATTTGCAGTTGTGTTGACGGTAAAGGAATACGTTCGCTCGCTAACGCACTTTCTTTAACTGTAAGGGACTTTTCTTTTTAACTCTGTTATATTTCAAACGGGAGTTAAGATGTTTCACAAAAGTAGTTGCTTGAGGTATTTAGACTCCGGACGTTCTCCTGAACAGGGTTGTCGTTCCATACATGACCATTATGCCATCCTTTTGAATGTGAACAATTTTACACGAGTGCTACTGTGTGAAATGATCTGCATGAAGTTAACCTCGTGTTCTTTGGGTCTCCCACATGAACACAAAACTTGCTCAAAGGGAAAGCTGGACTTCGCAAAATACTTTTCGTTTTTTACCTCAAAATTATGGAAACCGTTTCGAGGATGCAACCAATTAATGACACTTGGGAAGCGTTTGCTTCAGATGAAGAGGAGTTGTTAAAATGCACATACCTTGGCGTTCAAAAGCTTTAAAAAACGCTGACCAAGGACTGCGCAAAAACTTATTTGGAAAATTATTTTCTTGCATTTTCACTGTCCCAGACTGTTTCATTGGGCAATTATTGTCGATTCTGAACAGAGCACATTTCAGTTAATCTTGAAATCGCCAGAATTCCCCAATGTTTTTTCTTGCAATAAGCCAGGTTTGTCTTTCTAGTTATCATTTAGCTTTCGCAAAGGAATTGGCTTACGAACGATAAGGAAATTTAACTCTACGTTCCACGAAAAGATGGCAGACCAGCAGCCGGAAACCTGTAGAACCTTAGACATTGTTGAATGGATAGTTGGTTTTTGTTTTTGTTTTGACTGCACTGGGCGAAATTCTACACGACTGCCCTAGAGCTAAAATTTTGCCGACTGGTGTTCAAGAAAAACAAGCTGTGTTTACACATCCTGTCCGACAATCACCTCGTTTTTAGACTAAGATAGGATGCATGCATTCAACTGCTAAAGAATGCACATTTTTTTCTCAGATAGAGCTTCATGACTGGAGTGGAATTAAAACTCATACCGTGATTGGTGGCCGTATATATGAGATCAATGCAATGTACCTTTCTTATAGTAACTACCTTTCAAATTGAACCGCATTTTGGACATAAGATTAAAATAGATGAAATTCTGTTTGTCATTTGCCTCTCCCTTTACAACTCATAAACAAGCTTTGAATATGATCGGTATTGCAAACACAAATGTCCCAGAATTGTTGTTCTCACTTGCGGAGATTGGAGAAAGCTTATCTCAATCAGTTTCCGTGAAACAACTGCTTAACTTTCTGTTCAGTCATAACGTCACGAAACAATCAGCTAATAGCTGCGTTCCTTAAACGTTTCGCTCTGTTGTTCGATTAGCTTCCGTCGGATTCACCACGTCAATTTGAGTTTTATGTAAACTACGCAACTGCATATTATTTGCGTATCGAATGATGACACTGTCAGGACTATGTGCGTACACTGCATCCACAAAATGTTGCTTTTCGGTCGCTCTTTGTCGATGAATAGCTTGCACATAAGGTAGACAAGTTCGTCCTAAAACTGTGTATTCTCTGACCTCAAACAATTCAGAAGGGTAACTTTGTTGTCTGTGTGTATCAATCCTTATTCTGCTATGGTCGCTATGAACGTGTAAACATTCTTTAGACCTTTGGATGTTTGGCGACTTTCCCAAGTCGCTTGGCAGCCGTGGGCTTATCCAAAAGCGCACTTGGTTTGCGCATGCGACTGCCGTTTCCGGCTTTGCTGGGCTTTTTGCCGACTGAAGTGAACACAAGCAAATGAGTGACATCGGCCCGCCTGCTACGGCTAGGTGAACAAGTGGATAACCACGAGGCCATGTACATCGATTCATTTTTCACGATATGGATCAAAGTCTTGCCTCTCTACACAAATAACGCAGCACGTTAAAATTAGGAATCCGTAAAGTTTTACCATCCATGTATTTTTTCACCCATCTGTTCGGATCTAGAATCAGAAATCCTAAGGCAATCACCTTGGATTTGTTTCTTTCGTCTAGTGTGTGCCAGTGGAGTTGCGTTTTCTTCCACAAAGAATTTTGCTTGACCACAAACCTCTCACTTACCCTTGTTGTTTGCAAGACTCAAAATAACAAAATTAATTTTTCGGATCACCTTCTTCAGTGTAACTCACATCTTTGTCGATGCCGATGTGAACGCACGTCCCGATGGGCTACAGATAAAATCCACAAAGTACAAACCTAACAGTTATTTGTAAACGGATTGATTGTGTGGAGAGATTTGGGAATTACAATAAAGTTTTGTCCATTGGGTGAATCTATTCTATCTTAAGAGGCCGAGAAGCAATGCGCATCCATTTACTCCTTATCGTTGAGCATCTCAAAGGAGTCTCGAACCCACGACCTCACAGTTAGCAGTTTCAATAACTAAACATTTGACAACAGGAGGCTGATCAGCATTTGGACTAAATCCAAGGTATAGCGCCATGTCTATTGCAGTCACTCGCGTTGATTTGCCATTTAATCCAAAATCCTCGGATCCTCCTAGAAATACTGGTAAAATCTCTGAATAAATGAGATGATTTAAATTACTACCATTAGCTTAAGTTAAGTCACAAGTGACGCTGAAAAAACATATGAGAGCGAAGAAGTTTTTCTCCCTTACCCGATGTTGTGACTGTACTTTTAATAAAAATGTCAAGATTTTCCTGGAGGTTTTTATATTCGTGTTTGAGTTTAGATTCAACATATAAAGTATGATTAATTTTAATGTAGGGATGTGGGCTGTTAAGAGTGACAGAATATAGCAGCTCAAACAAATTCATGAAATCAACACGACTGCCTCAAATTTGACTGAAAGTTTTTCTCGATTGTAGTCTTTCTTACTCAGCAAACAATAAGTAACTCGTAATATAAGTCACGCGTGGGCGGGATGATTATTCTATTTTAAGCCAAGTAAAATGTAGATTTATCTGTTTGAAAGTTAGCAGACATACGACGGTATCACATATAATTGATCAACTACTTGGGCCTAAATGAAGAAAGATGAATGAAATACACACGCCTCACTATAGAAAGCTAAACATGAGGTTATTTTGTGGAGCTAGTAAAAAAACAAGCCAAAAGGGACATTGCTAACTAAATGCAATAAATTTTTCGGTTAACAAATGCTGGTTTTTGGATTGGTTGGGAGACGTGTACTTTGTTTTATTCAGTGACTCAAAGGAACTATCAGCAAAATGGCAAAGAACAATAAACTCTGGCGGAAGAAGAGTTGATTAGCATTTTTATAGAATAAATCCACGGGTAACAAAGAACATCTTTATTCTCATAGTTTGCGAGGGTAAACGTTGGACTGCATCGAAAGCTGCTTGACTAACGGCAGACTGGCTAACTTTAAGTAAAATAATCACACCCACATAATCTCTAAAGAAGCTCCTGGAGTAAACGAAAGCATAAAATTTAAGCGACTAAAAATTAGATGGTTGTGTTGTGAACCGGAATTTGAACAAAAGATAGTCTTGATGCTTCCGGACACTAAATACAAGGGAGAGCATGTCGGACAAGTCAAGAGCTTTCGTCAGCACAGTTTGAAGCTGCATGCCTGTTCCAAGCATACGCTACCTCCATCCGACCAGTATGTCATCAGTAAGGAAGAGGAACATAAATGAATTAGATTTTCACATACACAGAGAATAAGCTGGATTGTTTGTGGTTATAAAGAAGCATTGATCTACATTTTTCAGGCTGTTGTACCTTTGTGATGTATATGTGGAACTCTTCAGTAAGTAAATTCTGTGAAGACATCAAGAGCACCAGTGTTAGCAATGAGCAGCGTGGGTACAGCACAAACGTTTGAAAAGAAATCTCTACTGTAATGCTGCAAACCGAAGCAGTTCTTCATAAAAAAATAGCTCATTCTGAATTCTACTATCTTCAAGTGATGATAAGCATAAATTTGGTTGACTTTTCCAGCTGTGCCAGTATTCTTTTCTATAAGACCACCTGCTGTCATTAATCCTTCAGGTAGGGTCGGAATGATAAAACCATTTAGACATGGTTTTGGCGAGGAAGTTTGTGAGCTCGTTGAGCAGTAAGGCCTCATGTTCCTGGCCACTTACGGTTCTATGATATTTGTGACAATGTACGCGCCGGAAGCAGTAAATGCAGGTCTACTTTTTCGTATGGGTTGTTCGGCTCAATGCTAGGATAACACTAGTTTGATGCTTCGCCCCACCACTGGTTCAGATCCAGCCACATTTTACAGCAGGATCTGTCCTTGAAGTCGGCAATGTCCAATGACTTAGGCGGTCAACTTCCCTTCTGGGTGGTCACTGGGTTATATGACCTCAACACCTCTTCCACTACGTGAGCTTACTCCTTTTACCTCCTTGGCTACTTTAGAAGTGGAGAACAAAATCTGTCTGCACTAGTTTGTGTATGATCGCAAGCGGTCAACACAGCTAAAAGCATAAGTTGAGATAATTAATCACGTGCTTGCTGTGTTATGAAATACCAGGATAAAGAAAACAAAAAATGCTGGTAGACACCATGTTGACAATTTTACTCGGGAACATTGTCAACACGACATGCATTTCAGTTTGTGTGATGCATACCGTGCAGTCACTTTATAGTTCTTTTTAGAGTATACTGCCGTGGACAGGCCTATTAAACAGGTTTCATGGGATGTAAAAGGACAGTGTTTGAGAGAAGTGAAGATGTGGATTTGGTTCACGTACACTACTAATTTGGGCTTCTAGCTGTTTTGAGGAATCGAAAGGATAACCACAAACAAGTCAGTTAGAATTGCCAGACTTGTTCAACTTGCCGGAACACAAAAGGCTCATAACAACTTGGTTATAATGGATGCAGGATTGTCGGTAAAGTGAGATAGCTCGGAAAATAGAATACTGAAATTATTTCACAGGTTTCCAAATATAATCTATTGATATTTAGTTAAGAAAAAGATGCGTACATCCTGTAATGCGGTACTCAATATGTCTTTGTTTTGGGAGATCACAGGATGGTCCAAGCAGAATAAACACTGCCCCTTGGGTGCATGGGCTATCGGTCGTAATTTGAGTTCGGTCAGTTTTATCGGAGCCCGAAATTATCACTCTGCCGTTTACGAGACCAAAGCTCGTATGGGTGTGCAATCTCTACTAGTAGTGAACAGACATTACCAGAGAACTCCTCAGAGATTTGAGTACTTTCTGGACTTTTGCGATTACTTGTGTGGATTTGACGATTGTAATGTTTCCTTATTCTGTCCAACACTAAAAGCTTTCCCAAAATGCTCTGAAAACAGACATTCTTACTAGTTTTGACAGAATGTGATTTGCATGACCTTGAAATGCACGTGATAAAACATGGTTCGGTTAAAATAGGTTAAAGAAAACCGCTGCAACTTTATGGTAAACAAAGCCTCAACTAGGAGATTATATTCAGTTTAAATAGTAACTGGCACGATAGTGTTTATTAGAGTAATATGGTGCGGGTGCAAAATATTTTAGTTGAGTGTAATTCAATCTGAGATGGACCAGCTTGTGAAAAATTAATTCACATCATAAAAGATGGTGTCTGTCTTTTACGAACTAACATCTGCGTGCACAACATCGCCGCACAAATGCTCCTGCTCAAACACAAAATGTGCGTGTCAAATATTTGAGACAATGTTTTCATATCATGCCACTATTGCACAATAGTCATTCAAAATGTTTTTCATTCTAAGACAAATTTTTTGAATACCATTCTCAGAACAGAAAACATCCCACATTTTTGCGTAAGCATCTGGTCTCAGACGTTGTCATATGACGATTCAGTCAACATCTGAGGATGTGTGGTTCAGTATTCTGTCAGCCACTATTAGCTGGTCGACAGGGAGATTCTCTACTGGTCGAGAAGTTATTGCTTCGGCTGTCCACAAGGACTAGTTAGATACGTAATGCGAATCCTACCCACCATGGATAAAGTGACCGTTTAGCACCACTCGAGTTTTCAGCTTCGTAAAAACCTCCATATCGAACAAATTACAAGTAGATCGGAAGGACGACTACTTCACACAGTGAGGAAGAAATCGGAAATTCAATATAATTGTATAGGTGCAGCCCAGGTTTCCAAATCAAATTATGAATGGGCATGTTAGGGAACACTGTAGTGATTGTTTATTCCGATCCGTAACTCGTACAGTTTTAATGGTGTCACGCAGGAATACATTGTGCTTACAAATGTACACTCTTGAGTAGCATACGCAGCATCCTATAACGGTTATCGGTATGTTACTTTTCCAGTCAGCGTTTCTTGTTCGCGTCTCGTATTCCCACATCTATTCATTAGGATTAGGTTTAGTACCAATATATTTCAAATTCTACTTACTCTCTTTTCAATCCACTGCACTTGTTAGTTCAGTTGTGCGAATTCAGGAGCACTGGACTGATGCACCTAACTGGTATTACTTTTAGACACTGAATTATTTATCTTCGTTCATCTAGCAGCCATTGTAGCGTTGTAGCAGCCATTTGTACTCTGTTAAAATTTGGAGGGTTATCGGTAACATTTGGCGAAATTCCAAGCTCACAGACATTCGAGTCCTCAAATTTTCCTAGCGGAATGATAAACAACCAGATACAACAATACTAGCTGCATCGGTTCGTTCAATAAACTGACTGCTGCTGGAACCATCATTAAATCACATCGTATTTGTGAAGTAGGTGATTTGGAGAATGATGGTGTTGGGGTTAATCAGTATTTCATACGCCAGGAACGAGTTTCGTCACCAACTAACTGAACAACCAACTACTAAACAAGCATTAAGTGGGTTAAGTAGGTTGAACGCAGATGATGCTAACAAACGCGGCTCTTGTCTGG